ATCCTTTCAATCTGTAATCTCATATCCTTCTTTGATTCAGGAAAATTATTTTTCTCAACTGTAATTTTTCCTCCATGTGTGCCTTTTCCTCCTTCTGGGATTTCTATTATTCACAATTCTCTGGATTTATCCTCCAACTCCCTTACCTTAATACAAGATTCCTTAAACCTCTGTCTTCCCAGATTCTCCTGTCTACCCTTCCCAGAGGATTGGTGATATATTACTTGTCGTTAGAAATACTGTAGAATTTGAATAAGGCCATCTACCAGTAGTACTAACTGGGCAAAACTGTCTTAATTTACTACAATAATTGCACAATAGAAGACAAAAGAATATCAACAATAAATAAATATGGAAGTTGTGAAAGGATAGCGCAAACATTACAAGTATAAAGTTAAATATTAATGGGCTAAATTACCCCATAAAAAGTTTCCTCAGAACTTCTTTTGAAATAGAACATCACACCCATCACTTTCCAAATAATCCAATTTTTACAAACCACATTGAGCAATATCCTTAATCGCAAAGTAAATACGGAATATTGTTATCTACGTGTCAGAGAATCTTAAAGAGCCAGAGCCTAAAATCAGCTCCTTTCATTGTTTTTTTTCCCTTACAACTCAGGATTGATGGCTCCAGGAGAGAATGTAGGGGGAAGAGAATTCTTTCTTCTCTGGGTGTTCATTCTTTAGAATCAGAGAGACTGTTGTGTTCATAAGCAAGCATTGTAGTCAAAACTAAATAGGAAAGCACCTAACCTTTTTACTGGAAAACATTTGACTTAAAGAATGGAAAAGCTGCTAGTACATTTTAAATTTGCTCAACTCGTTGCTCAAGAACCTCCTTTGGTGAACAGTTTAGTGAGTTTCGGATGATAATCGGACACTTCACCCCAAATAGAACATGTGCAGTCACCCCAGAAATGATGGAAGTCCAGGGCCATCACTCTGCGTGCTTCTGGGCGTGGGCTGATCACCAGCTGGAGAGGGAAGACATTCCCTGTAGTATTTCTATAGCATCATCAATTACATTCAGATTTTTATTGCCCTTTAAACACAACTCACTGAGGGGGCTTTAAAGTACATTATGGCCAAATAGTGCAACATGAGGTGAAAATCTTCAAAGGCTTACAACAGTACTTCAGACAAATGAACTCAAGAAAAACAATAAACTCAGGGAAGGTGAGCAGAATAGCGCAGAAGTTAAAGATCATCTGGGGTGTTTATCACACATGGAGCCTGACAGAGAACAGAACTCAGCATTTGTTGAGTGAATGAATGAACCAACAAAGAAGCAAACTTGCCTGTCCTGGGTTCAAATCGCAGCCTCACCAACATTGGACCTTGAGTACTTTGCTCGTCCTCAGTTTACCCATCTTTACAAAGGAGATAAGTGCACCCATCTCTTCTCATTGGTACAGGGACTGAACCAGGTAATGCTCGTAAATAAATAAACCACTGGCTGGGACAGAGTGCACGCTCACGTGACAGCCATTTTAAGAGCTCTCCCAGGATTGATTTAGCTAATTCCCCACCATGCAGATCTAACAGCTAAAGCATCTCAATGTCTGCGTACTAGCTATCTCATAAATCTGTATTCTCTTGCATCTCTGCGAAACCAACAGTTACACCACAGACATCCCTAAGACTGTCCTTTACTTTGAACTAAGTCTAAGTTTTCTGCTAATAAGCAGACCTCTTAGATGGTATCCTCCTCTGTTTCGGCTGCTAAAACAAATATCACAGGCTGGGGGCCTTATATACAATAGAAATATATTTCTAATCGTTCCAGAGGTGGGGAAGTCAAGATCAAGGTGCCGGCAGATTTGGTGTCTGGTGAGAGCCCACTTCCTGGTTCATAGATGGCAGTCTTCCCGCTGTGTCCTCGCATGGTGGCAGGGGCAAGAGAGCTCCCTGGGGTCTTTTATAAGAGCGCTAATTGCCCTCACGACCTAACCACCTCCCCAAACCCCACTTCCTAAGACCATCATCTTGGGGGTTAGGATTTCACTATATTGTGGAAATTAATGATAGAAACCTTGACTAAACTGGAATCCGCAAGGCCTGCAGGGGGAGCTCTCACCCCATCACACATTGTCGATTACTCCAAACAGGGAGAGACAAACACTTGCATCCTGGACAAGAAGTCAAACTACTTTATTACTGAAGGAAGATTTCTCTCCCCATCCAGCAACAGCTCAGCCAATGAGAAATGCTGCAGCTCAGCCAATGAGAAACACTGCAGCCCAGCCAATGAGAAATGCCACAGCCCAGCCAATGAGAAAGACCACAGCCCAGCCAATGAGAAACACTGCAGCCCAGCCAATGAGAAACGCCACAGCCCAGCCATTGAGAAACACCACAGCCCAGCCAATGAGAAACACCACAGCCCAGCCAATGAGAAACGCCACAGCCCAGCCAATGAGAAACACCACAGCCCAGCCAATGAGAAACGCCACAGCCCAGCCAATGAGAAACACCACAGCCCAGCCAATGAGAAACACCACAGCCCAGCCAATGAGAAACACTGCAGCTCAGCCAATGAGAAAGACCACAGCCCAGCCAATGAGAAAGACCGCAGCCCAGCCATTGAGGAACACCACAGCCCAGCCAATGAGAAAGACCACAGCTCAGCCATTGGGAAATGTAGCAGCTCAGCCAATGAGAAGCAGTTTTTGTCCTGAACTGTTACTTTCCCCCAATGGAACTTCATTTGGAACAGCCCCACCCTCCTCTCCTTTTTCTCTATAAAAGCAGCTCCTCTCTGTTCTTTTTTGGACTTGCTTATGGTTTGCCATAGCAGGCACATGCTGAATTGTAATTCTTTTGGCTATTCCAGAATAAGTTCACTTTGAGATAAAATAATAGGCAAGTTTTCTTTTTAAGTTGACAATATGAATTTTGGGGAGACACAAATGTTCAGTCTTGAGCAGATGGTATACTGTGATAAGCAAAGTTCAAACTCATAAAAAGAGTAAAAGCTGCTCACTTTGGAATGTTGAAAGCCCTGGCCCAAGGCTACTGTGACTTTCAGCCACGTGCATACAAAAGTCACAGAAAGGATTGTAAATTATGAGTGGTACTGACAGTCCTAACAGTTTCTTAATAATAACTACTTCTTATTAGCAAACTCGCTTGGGACCCATAAATTACACGTATCCTGCAGATACGTAAAACATTCCAAACCCACACGAAGAAATTCTACATCTGTGCAGGGAGTATGTGCCTTTGGATGCTCTGGACTCAACTAATTAAAAGCCAGGTTAAAAATAAATCACATAGCATTTGTGATTAGCATAACTTTAACAAACAAGGAGAACTTTTTTCCCCCAAATAGCGATCAAGTCTTGTTTTCATTGCAACTGGAGAAGGTGTTGGAAAGATAACCTAATTTATTTCTCCAAGGGTGGGGTTATAAAAAGTCCATTTTTTTCCTGGGCAGTAAAGTGGTTCTAAATTATAAATGTAGCTGCACATAATCAAGTTCTCTCTTCTTTGGAAGATTTCTTAGAACTTGGAGTTTTTGTCATTTATTTCATGAATCACTCAGTAAAGGGCAGACGTACTATTTCAAATGTTAGTACTTCAGAATGTCACTGTCACTTGGCTCAAAGATTTTCCTCTTTTTGGGGGGAGGGGGTCCTCCATCATCAAATCAGCAGTTCTGCTCCAAAGGGCAGGACCAAGAATCTCCAGCTCTGTGTGGGGAGAGGGGGAAAGGTGCTCAGTCTGTGGGGACCAACAGGGGATCCACCCGGCCATCAGCATCAGCATCAGCACCAGCATCAGCACCACCACCAGCACCAGCATCAGCACCAGCATCAGCATCAGCACCACCACCAGCATCAGCACCACCACCAGCATCAGCACCAGCAGCAGCATCAGCACCAGCGCTGGAACAAGGATCCCACCGCCCCTTCCGATACCGAGGGACGCTCAGCCCACACGACACTGAACAACGCCGTTTGGAGTCGAGCACGGCGACCCTGCAGTGACGTGGTCTACCTGGGGGAGGAAGCAAGATGTGGCCCTGAGCACCCAGCACTAGGCCGCTCACGCCGGTGCCCCTAGGGTCTTGAGGGCACCGTGCGGACGGGGCGGGCTGTCCTTGGGCACGGGGACAGGGACGTGAGGGGGGCGTCCACCTCGGGTCACACCCCGCCCCCCGCCCCAGGGCCTGTGCGACGCGCCCAGGACTATGGCGTAGAGCAGGAGCACCGGTCTTCACCAGGGTCCGGCCTTCCCATGGGCACGGTGTGACCCTCGGCGGGTCCCCTCTAAACGCTGGCCTGAGGCTGACGGGGGCGCCCCCAGAGCCCAGCAGGCAGCCCAGGGCGGCCACCACCCCGACACCGCCCGTGGGGGGATCGGAGGAGAGCCCAGGGAGAGAGACGGAGAGGGCAGCGGGGGAGGGGGTAGCGGGGGAGGGTCCGCGGGGAGGGGGCGGGGCCGGCCAAAGGAAGGGGCTGGGGGAGAGACGGGGGAGGGGGTAAGGGCGGCGGAGGACCCAAGGGCGTGGGGGGGCGGGGGGGGGGGCGGGGGGGGGTGGGGGTGGGGTCCAAGAGGGAGGGCCGGGGAGAAGGTCCAAGGGGAGGGCCCAAGGGGGAGGGCCGAGGAGAGTGTCCAAGGGGGAGGGTCCACGGGGGAGGGCCGGGGGGAGGGTCGCGAGAGGAGGAGCGCCCGGGGGAGGGTCTGGGCCGCGCGGCCGCCGGGAGACCTCGGCCCGAGCCCCGGGAGGGCGGGCTCCGCACGGCCCGGCTCGCGGGGATCGCGCCGGGGTCGGAGGAAGCGCGGCGACGATGAGTCCTCCCGCCTGAGCCACCCCCGCCCCGGAGACCTCGCCGCCCGAGCGCAGCCGCCCCTCACCCGGCGTCACCCCGAGTCCCCCGAGTCCCCGCGGGGAGAAGGACGGCGCGTGCGGCCAATGAGCGCGCGCCCGCCGCCCGCCGTCCCCTCGGCGGCTGCGCGGGGCGGGCCGGGCCGGGGCGGGGCGGTCCGCGGGCGGCGCGGGCTCACACGGAGGGAGCGGGAGCGGGAGCGGGAGCCCGAGCGCGCCGGCGGGGACAGGACGCGCCAGGCCCGCCGGGCGCCGCCCGCAGCCCGAGCCCGCCGCCCGCTCGGCCGCGCCGCGGCCCGCCCGCCGGCCCCATGGAGGAGATGGAGGAAGAGCTCAAGTGCCCGGTGTGCGGCTCCTTCTACCGCGAGCCCATCCTGCTGCCCTGCTCGCACAACCTGTGCCAGGCGTGCGCCCGCAACATCCTGGTGCAGACGCCCGAGTCCGAGTCCCCGCGCAGCCGGCGCGCCTCGGGCTCCGGCGCCTCCGACTACGACTACCTGGACCTGGACAAGATGAGCCTGTACAGCGAGGCGGACAGCGGCTACGGCTCCTACGGGGGCTTCGCCAGCGCGCCCACCACGCCGAGCCAGAAGTCCCCCAACGGCGTCCGCGTCTTTCCCCCGGCCATGCCGCCGCCCGCCGCCCACCTGTCGCCGGCGCTGGCCCCGGTGCCCCGCAACTCCTGCATCACCTGCCCGCAGTGCCACCGCAGCCTCATCCTGGACGACCGGGGGCTCCGCGGCTTCCCCAAGAACCGCGTCCTGGAGGGGGTCATCGACCGCTACCAGCAGAGCAAGGCCGCGGCCCTCAAGTGCCAGCTCTGCGAGAAGGCGCCCAAGGAGGCCACCGTCATGTGCGAACAGTGCGACGTCTTCTACTGCGACCCGTGCCGCCTGCGCTGCCACCCGCCCCGGGGGCCCCTGGCCAAGCACCGCCTGGTGCCGCCGGCCCAGGGCCGCGTGAGCCGGCGGCTGAGCCCGCGCAAGGTCTCCACCTGCACGGACCACGAGCTGGAGAACCACAGCATGTACTGCGTGCAGTGCAAGATGCCCGTGTGCTACCAGTGCCTGGAGGAGGGCAAGCACTCCAACCACGAGGTCAAGGCCCTGGGGGCCATGTGGAAGCTGCACAAGGTGAGCCCACGGAAACCCGCCCGCCTCCCGCGCCTCCAGCCTCGGGCGTTGCGGCGCCGGGCCCGCTTCCGCGCGCAGTGCATCCCAGCGCGGGCGCAGTGCAGGTGCCGCCAGGGCCTGCCTCCCCGGGCTGGCGCAGTGCAGGAAGCGCGGGGGGACCTTGAGCGGCGCGCGGGGGAGTGGAATGTCCCCCGAGAGCGGTTGGGGCATGCCTCCCAGCAGGCCTCCCGGTGCGCGGCCTGCGGGCCAGGCGCAAACGCCCCCTCGCCGCCGCGGGCGTGCGGGAGAGCGCTGCGGAGCTGGGCCGAGCCGGCTGCGGGCCCGGGCCGCGGGCCGGGGGAGGCGGGGGGACGGGCGCCTGAGTCACCGCGGGGGCGGGGAGCGCCGCGGGCGGGATGCGCGCCGGAGCCGGGCGCTCCGGAGGCGGCGCGGCGCGGAGCGGAGCGGAGCCGGGGGTCGCCATGGCAACCGGCCTGGAGGCGGCGGCCCTGCCCCTCCGGGAGGGGTCCCGGGGCTGGGCTGGCGGGACCGCAGGTGTCTGCGCGGTCGCGGCCTGAGAGCCAGGCAGGTGCGCCTCCCAGGTAACACCTCCTCCACCCACCCGCCCACCCGTTTGTCCAGGATTCAACCCCTTTCCCCTCGGTAGTTGTCTGCAAACTTGCGGACACCTGTTACCAGGTTTTTCTTTCTGGGCTCTTGTTGGCGCGTCCACCAAAGCCGCGTAAAGGAGAGGCGCTTCAACAACGTGTTAGGTCCTGCCGCTCCTCTGCTCAAAATCCTCCAGTGGTCCCTAGTTCCTTAGACGGTCCTGAGAATGGGCAACCAGGACCTCCATGACCTGTTCCCCTTTAACCTCATCGACCCCATTTCCTACCACTCTTTCCCTCTGCTGCAGCCACACCTTCCGTCTTGCTGCTCCTCAACCTACAGCAGCACCTTGCAGCCCCAGGGCCTTTGCATCTGATGTTCATTCAGCTCGGAAGACTCTTCCCAATACCCTAGATCCGGGGGGCTCACTCTTGCCTCCTTCAGATGGTGACTTAGACGTCGCCTTTGCAGTGAGACCTTTCTGACCACAATTGCTGCCTCTCGTCTCAGACACCCCCTTGGTCGCTCCCTGCTTTATTTTTCTCAGTAGTCCTCAGCACTAACTGGCATGCTGTGTATTTTAATTATCATGTTACTTTTGTATTTATCTATTGCTCCCCACACGCACGGGAAAATAAGCTTCATGAGGAAAGACCTCTTTATAATGTTATGCTGACGCTGCTTAGAGGGAAGGGAACCACTCTTGAGACGTGCATAAATTAGGCTCTTACTTTTTCAATAATGCACTTACCTGGGGATGCGAAGGGCAGGGCAGGGCAGGTGTTCAGCATCATTGTAGCGAGGTTTTCTTCTCTCGCTGAGTCTGGAGCCCTGGGATGAGGCCGGGCAGTGAGGATGGTGCCCAGGCCTTAGCTGTGCCCCACTCAGGGTTCCCTAGCATTCCTTGGAGACTGGAAAGGCTGGCCTTTGAGAGAGAGACACGGGGAGAAAAAGGAAATCACCATTTTCAGCAATCAGGGAGGTTTTCTCAACTCAGCATTAACTGGCTGTGGTCCGTGTTTACGGGCCATCTGTGTTCTCACAGGTAACCTGTTAAACCACATTGGCCCTGATGGAGATTTAATCCAGTGCAAATCTGAGCCCCACTAGGCATGAACCACTATTTTTAAAACACTTCAATTTAAATTTTGTTAAATGACATTTAATTTTGAAAGTTTTCAAAACTTTTAGTTCACAGCCAATTTTTTCTTCATAATGTGATTTCACTCTTAAACTGCTAACTATAGCCTATGTTGAATTGCCCTTCAAAACTATCCTTGGAACTAAGAAATTAATGATTCCGTCCAGAAAAATAACTTAGAGCTGCAGGCTAATTAGGGTGGTCAAACCACAGCATTATTTTTCTGTGCAGAAGGGCCTATACTTTATTCATTAAGACCAAAAGCAACCTTTAAATCTCTGTCAAGCCCATGTAGATTTCAGATGTTAAACCATGTGTTTTATCAGTAGTAGAAGACGTGAGTGGACACTGTGGTGAGCACTGGGTTGAAATTTGGATGTCTGCTCAAAAAGAATAATGTTATTCTTGACGTGACATAAGTAGGCTAGGAAGGGAACATTAGTTCATTAAAAAAAAAATTTCTTCCCTGATCTTTTACATATTTTTTCCAAAGTAGTAAGTAGGTATAATTTTTGTTCAGTCAATATAAGGAGTATTAAGCTGCCAAGAAAAACATAAAGCAGAAGGAGGACAGATTTTAACATTCACTTATCATCTGTTAGATGAACAATGAACGTTACTCCCCCACCCTATCTCCATGTCACCTTAATCTTGATTTTCTCGGATAGTCTATTTATTTTCTAGCAATAATACCTCTATCTTCACAAAAGCTTATGGGCCAGAATTTCTCTACCCTTCAAAACATAGGAGAGCAAAGAATTACACTAAGTAATTCTCCCAAAGTTGGGCAGTTAGTTATCAACACAGGGATTACTAGACCTGAAAGTTTTCATTAATATTCTACCATATTAATTAGTCATTTCTAGTGATAAAGAAAATCCTGTGAATAAATCTTTTCCTTGGGCACTGAGCCGTCATCTTACACATTCAAGACAAAATGGATGAGTTTATTTTTTAAGTGGTTTTAAAAACAGCTAGTTAAAATTCCTTAAATTGTCAATTGACCATATTAAAATACTTTTCAGATATTTTTGCCCTTCAAAATCCATGACAAATAATAACGCATAAAGTGGCCTTATAAATATCAGGTAACAGTTTCTATTTAGTAACAGCCCTTGCTGTATTCCTATATCCAACTCAGGTTAGTATAAAGAATTGCTACATAAAAAAATGGTTTTGTACACTTTCAAATAGGCAAATGGAAACATTATTATTGCTTTGTAATTTTAGCAATTCACATTCCTAAATCAAACATTATCCTTAAATTCCTGGTGTGTTTTATCAATCACTGAATATATTTGTAAGCATTTTCTTCTGTTTGTGCTGTTGAGTAAGGATTTTCTTTTCTTTTCTATCTTAAATGCTGACTATTTATTCTGAATCTTGTCTCAAATGTTATTTCTCTTACCTTTTTTTTTAATGAAGATTTGCAATTTAAACATTTAAAATAAACTGTCAGTTGTTATGCTTTCATTTTCAAAGTATTCCGGAAAAAATCTCTGCTTTGTAGTATGGTGGCATCTCATCAAATACTTGTGTAACAAAATGTGTTATTTGATGTAACTAAAATGTATTCAGTTAACTGTGTTATCAGCAGTGAACACAATATAATCTAGATGTTCCTGTGGTAAATGTAACAGGTAGCATATGCTCATGTTTTTTAAATTTTTAAAAATTTACTTCTGGTACAATCAGAACGTTCTGTCTGCAATGTAACCATTCTTACGGGTATTAAGGAGAACATTCAGAGAAGTAAATTGTTGCTCTTTGTATGGAAAAGTAATGGAAAGACCTAGATGGCGGGAGCCCTGGATTCCAGACCTGGTGCTGCCACTTACTCGCTGGTGCTTTTACGGAAGTCTCGTGATGTGTCTGCTTCCTCCCATATGGGTGTAAAGGAGCTAAAGTGAAATTGGTGAAGGTATTTTGAAAAAATAATTTAAATGTTTATAACAGTAATTTCGGTTTGGCACAAAAGGGAGTTTTTGCATAAAACAGAAGTTATTCTCACTAGTCAACAATTACTGCACAGAAATCTCATCCCCGGACATGGGGTCCTTTGCTCCTTCCAGAGGGCAGGGTGCAGAACGACCGAGGCTGCCCTGGAGGTGGCCCGAAGAGTGAGCCCCGTCATTAGGTCTAGGGAGAATGCTCGCTTGAATTAAGCTCAAGGAATAAGAACGCTACACAAAGATGTATTCATATATTTTAAAAAGGTATTTTGCATTTCAATAACAAAGCTAAAATCCTAACCGTTAGGACTCAGTTTTTTTAAGATTCTCCAATGAAGATATTGTTATCGCTTTGAAGTATCAAATTGTTCTTCCTCTATGTGCCATGAAAAGATGCTCTTAATTGGAATTTCAGGTCAAATCACAGTTTGCATAAAGTAAGAGAAAATTATCACAGCCATCTGTGAGTAATAAGAATAATGCACAGGCAAAAATTATCTTTGCACCAGTACGATCAATTGCTCTCCTGTCACCTAGACACTTTCAAAGTGTGTGTATGTATGTAACTTAACCTTGGCACACAGGAAGACAGAATCCATAGTAAGGTAAATGTTGAAGGACAGAATAATCCTAAATAATGTCAGTTTTGTCAGGGATTGTTGGTTGTAAGGAACAAAAAGTCACCTAGGTGATCTCAGAGGATTTCATGGGAAATTAAACAAAAATTGTTTTACAAGGAGAATGGAACTAGAAAGCCAGAAACTAGGTTCCCTCTCTCTCTGTCAGCTTGGACTAGGTTATGCTGCTGTAACAAACAATGTCTGGATCTCAGTGAACTACAACAGCTTCTCATTTCTTACTCAGGTCAGTGCCCACTGAGTCAGCTGTGGCCCTCGTCTATATTCTCCTTAGTCTTTTTTTTTTTTTAAAGATTGGCACCTGAGCTAACAACTGTTGCCAATCTTCTCTTGTTTTTTTTGCTTTATCTCCCCAAATCCTCCCTGTACGTAGCTGTATATCTTAGTTGCAGGTCCTTCTAGTTGTGGCATGTGGGACGCCGCCTCAACGTGGCCTGATGAGCAGCGCCATGTCCGCACCCAGGATCTGAACCGGCGAAACCCTGGGCCTCCGCAGCAGAACGCACAAACTCAACCACTCGGCCACAGGGCCGGCCCAATCCTTAGTCTTGAACTTAGTCTGAAAGAGACTATCTGGGATATGCCAACCTACAGCAGAGGGAAGAGAGCAAGGCAGAGCCACTCAATGGCACTTACAGGTTCCCCTCAGCTGTGGCATGTCACTTCTGCCTACGTTCCGTT